AGCCGGCTCCGCTCGGCGGCTAGGGGAACGGGCAGCGGGCTGGCTCCGCACCCCCCGCGTCCCTCCAACCAGCACTAATGCCGTGGACAGAGGCCCGGCCCCCCCCCCTACCAGCCGCCTCCTCCCCCACCCAGGCCTCCCTGGCTGCTCCACCTCCGGACAGACCTGCAGCTCCAGGGCATGGTCTGGCCCACCCTGCTCCCTGCCATCAGCCCCTCACCTCCCCTTCACCCAGGCCCCAGGCCCGGTGGCTTTGAGACTTGCCACCAGGGGCCCACCACTCTGTCCCTTCCTGCCCCCTCCACCCTCCCACTTCTCAACCTCCTTGGAGAAATTCCTGTCCCCAGAGGCAGTTCAAGACTCCCAAGTCCTCGGTCCCCAGCCAGCAGCACCCCATCTCTCCACCCGGCCCATGCAGGACCCCTTCCAGGGGCTTCCCAGACCTTGCTTTGCTTAGCAGTCCCAGAACCGCCTCCGGCTTGCTCCCCCACCCGCTGCTCCCAGTGCTCCCACCTGAACCAGGGCAGTCGCCACCCTGCAGCCCAACACCCCACTCCCACTCGGCTACCACCACCCCTCTTCTCTCTACTTCCTGCTCCCCCACAGACCCTTCTGCCCCCATAGCCCTCCTGCTGCCACCTCCAGATAAAAGTTGGGCAGAGCCTTCCCCCCCACCCCACACATGGGCGCCCCCCACACCTTCACGCCTCCTTGCCCACCAAACAGCCCTTCCCCACCTCTCCCATTTGGCTTTGGTCTCGCCTCTGTGGTCTGCACTTCCAGAAGCCTCCCTGAGACCCAAGGCAGCCCTTGCCCCTGAACTGCAGCCTTGCCTCACCCCTGCTGGAAGTCCTTCCGGGTGTTTAGCCTCACAGCCTCCCGCTGCACCCCGTCTGCCCGCCCCAGGCTGGCCCCGCTGTGGGGGATGTTGTTTGGGTGGAGAAGGGAATTCTTCAAGAGGCCTTGGCCCAGGACCCACACCACATAAAGCAGCCTGCCCTCCAACACCCGAGCTCCAGGCCCGAGACTCCTTGCGAAGGGACTTTCCTGAAGTGAATGCCCGCGTTGCCAACTCGTCCCTGTGTGGCCCAGTTCAGCCACCCTGGACGCAGCCCACGCAGGCGCTGGGTCTGGGCGTCCCTGACACAGGAGGGCACAGTCTGGAGACCCAGCTGCAGCTCACGAGGGGGCTCCAGGCTGTGCTGGCATTGGGGCAAGGGGCAGACGGGCCGCGGAGGGCACTGGAGAGCGCCAGTGGGCATTGCGGCAGGACACCCGAGCACCAGTGTCCAGAGGTTGCCCTGATCCTCCCCAATAGGGAAGAGCCCACCCTCCTGGGCCCCAAGGGACTCCTGGGTGGACCCCTGCCCACCATCCCCACCCCAATGGCCTTCTCTTGGGGTCTGGAATTGCCCCTTGGTTTCTGGGACCCTCCCCACTCCCATATCGACCTTTGATTCCCTGCCCCTCTCAAACACCAGGAGCATCCCCCCACGCCCCGCCCCATGCACCCCAAGTGGAAGCCCCTCTCCACTCCATGGGGCCTCCAGCTAGACAGATGAGGGCTGAGCCCAGCTCTGCGTTACTAGCTGAAGGGGCGCACTGCATGGCTCGTTCTCCCGGCCTCAGTTTCCTCGTCTGTAAAGTGGGGTAACAGCCCCCCGCAGCTCTAGGGAGCCAATGGAGCACGGTGTGTTTTCTTCAGTTTCGCTTCTCAGAGATTTCTGAGAGATCCTGGAGCTCCAAGCAGGAAGAACCTGATTTCCCTCAGACCTTCCCGACTGTCCCTCCTACGGCCTGGTCTCTGGGTACAGGGACACAAATGCCCAGGCTTTTACTGGAGGTCACGGGCCTCGGGTTCCCGCTCCCAGCCAGGCCCCGCCCCCAGCACGGTCCTGCCGCCGCCACGCGCCACCTTGTGGCCAGACCTGGGAGTGTCCTGCGAGGTCCGCTGTTGAGGAACCCAACCCCGCGGAGGAAGAGCGCGACGGAAGA